AAGACTCAGGACAGGCATTCTCATTACATGATTAATTAAAATCATTATTGTAATGTTTGCAGTGTTATAATTACTGCTTTGATTAAGAACACACTCAAATATACTGCTATACTATATCTACTAACATTTTTAATAATATTATTATAAATAATAGTTACAGGAAATGTAGCTGGTGATATTACACGTACATCTTATGAAACAACTTTGTTTGAAACAAGTGCAAATTCAATGAGTATTAAAATAGGACAAAGGTTTGTTCAGTCACAGAAACTAACAGGTGAGAACAGAGTCAAACAGAGTTTTATATAAACATATATACGATTAATGTGTCTTGAATCGTCTTGAAAAGTGTACATCGGTAGCTGAACACATTTAATTGGCACTTCACTAATCGGTGGCTGTGGCTACATTGTAGCTGCCATCACCAGTGTGTGACTGAATGTGTAAAGCGCTTTGGGGTCCTTAGGGACTAGAAAAGCGCTATACAAATACAGGCCATTTACCATTTCAAACACTACAGGTCCATCAGGTGAGAGGGAGAAAGAAAGGCGGGCTTGGGAACTCTCACCTGCGGCTTTGAGAGCGCCACGAAGCTCATAAGATGACATCTTTCCTGAGCGGTCCGTGTCAAAGGATAGAAAGAGCATCTGTAACAACGGACGTTTGTGGTTAATAGTCTGAGCAACAAAGAAAAGTGCTCCTCCAACTTTCATCGCAGAGTTCATTTACAGTTTTTCAATATAAATCAACACATACAATCCACTTCTTCATCTTTTCCCAGAAGACCTTAAACTCTTGGAACTCTATCTTTCCCGTATTGTCCACCTGGTTCACTGTGTCAAGAAAAAAACCTAAGAAGCATTGTGGAAAATAGCTTACCCCCAAAACCGTCTTTCTATCACATATAAACAAACACACACAAAATATCAACAAAAAAGATTCGATAACTTTGAAAGGATACATCCATAAGATTGATGATACTCTGACAGGTGCTGAGACTCAGGCCATCAAATTTGATCTCTTTTCCTGAAGATAAAGGATTAAAGTGGCAGTGATACAAAAAGCATGGCTATGTGTAATAATGCAACACAAAACCCGAAGTTTATGAAGTTTATAAGGCATCAAGATGTGAGGAGAAAATGTATACACTGTACACAAAAGATAAACAAAGTATTTTTGCTATGTGATACCGACCTCAGGTGTTTTAAATGTTTTTAGTTCAGTCTTCAAATGATGTTTAACATATTTACAACATACAGTATGGTTCACTGAGTGTGGCTTGTTATTGTTTTTGAAAGTTATTTAGTTGCTATTAAGCCACTAAAACTTAACAACAACATAAAAGTTATTTATTTTTGCCACAGTATGTAATCTTACTTGTAACACTTTGACTCTTGTGTTGGCAAAATCCAATGTAGGCTGATCAACCTCTCCTTTAGATATCACCCTAAAACAATCTGTAGGAAGCAAATTTGCTTTTTCTGCTTGCTTTTATTAAATAAATAGAAAAAAACTCTTAGTATTAGCTTCACATTGTCATGGTTCTGGGTCATTTGACACAGCCTTTTGAGTTTATGGTGTTTTGTGATTTCTTTGTATTATAATGCTTTAGTGTCCTATTTAGTATTGAATAAGTCCTGGTCTGCTCTGTTTAATATTTATGTAATATTTCTCTTTTCCCGTCACTGTCTCATC